ATGTGCCCCCTCCAGCCACCCACGCTCATTGTGACATCCTCGACGGCGCAGGTCAGGATTTGAATATGCAGCCTGAGGAGCTCGCAACGCTTGCAGGTGATGTGATCGAGCTTGAGATGGCCTCCGACGGCAGCTGCACGAAGCAGGCCCTCCGCTGTCTCCATCGTGCCTCGTGGGCGATCGCCCTCATGGAGCCAGGCAGCGAATCGCTTCTTGCCATCTTGAGGGGCATTGTTCCTGGCGGTCTCCCCCAGACCCCTGCGATGGCCGAGCATGCGGGGGCGGCCCTGGTCGGGCAAGTTTCAGATCGCCCCACGTCGTTGGCCCTCGATTGTAAAGCTGTGATTTGTCAGACGCAGAGGCCCCTCTGGAAACAGCTGAGTGGTTCCAATAAATTTGCTGGTGCGAGGCGGTTTGCCCATGAGCTAGCAGGCACTGAATTTCTGTCCACCTTCCATGTAAAGGCCCATCGAGAGCTCTCTGCCCTTGAGGACTTGGAAGGTGATGATCGTAGGTTTGGTTTTGCGAATCGTGCTGTGGATGAGCATGCCAAGAAGGCCCTTGAGGGCCATCCTCGGCCCCTGCCCACCTTTTTGGACCACGTTGAGCTGTACCAAAATCGAGCCAATGCGTTTATAAAGCTTGCTTCCGAAGTTTTACCCCTCTTCAAAAATGAGGTGCGTTGGAAGCGAGCTGCTTTCACAACCCAGGGTCGTAGTCGTCAGCAGAAGACCTGGCACCTCTGGAGGAGAACCGAACTGGGCATGCAGTGTCGTTATTGTTGGACGGTGTGTGATCGACCCGATCGGCCCATTTTCGGGTGCAGGGGACCGCCTCCTGCTCTCCAGAAGCTGCTGCGCGATCCCCTTGGGCACCAACTCGTCGCCGTGTCGGGCTCGGGTCTTGATGCTCCTCGGTCGGACCTGGTTCTGGGCCCCTGCCGTGAGCAGCAGATTCTGTGTTTGAAATGTGGGGGTTGGTCCCAGGGTAGAGCCCTAAAGCTCGCTGAGGTCTGTGGTAAGCCAACGCGGAAAGGACTGGACGTCCTGAGCCGTTTTCGTCGTGGGCTTGGCCCCAACATGAAAATCAAGGCCTTGATTGAGAAGGCGTTGCCTGTGTCAAGGCTCGATGTTGCCCTTGAGTCGGATGATAAGCCCGAGCTGTGTGTTACCTCAGTCCCGCGAGCGTTTTCGGACTCTCCCTCGGCCCCCACTTATGAGCAGCGAATGGCGTCCCTGGTCGCCAGAATTAAAGCTAAAGAGGAGGCAAGAGCCTCCAGGGCGGTTTAACTCGGGTCGATCCCCCCAAGCTTTTGGTGCTGTCACCTCCCGACCTTTCAAGGCGCTGTCCACCACCATCCACCATCCTCCTCCTCCTCCTCCTCCTCCTCCTCCTCCTCCTCCTCCTCCTCCTCCTCCTCCTCCTCCTCCTCCTCCTCTCTCTCTCTCTCTCTTCCTCCTCCTCCTCCTCCTCCTCCTCCTCCTCCTCCTCCTCCTCCTCCTCCTCCTCCTCCTCCTCCTCCTCCTCCTCCTCCTCCCCCTCCTCCTCCTCCCCTCGGACCTGAGCCAGCACCTCGCCCAGGGAGCGCAGAGGCGCCGGCGCTTCCTCGACGCCCCCCGCGCCCGCGCCCCGTGCGGAGGTCCGGCCGGGGGGGCCCCGCCGCGCGCGGGTCTCGAGGGGGACCTCCGCCCCCCCGCAGGGGCGCTGCCGCGCGCAGCGCTGCCGCCGCTTCCCGGGCCTCCGGGGAGCCCTGGATCAGCGGGCGAAGAACGGTATAACATAAACTTTCCGCCGTCGGAGACACCTGCCCCTGGGCGGCTGGAAAGTTTATACCTCTACGGTGCCACCGTAAGGGTGTGAATTTTCCAGCCGCCCTGGGACGGGCGCCCCCGACAGCGAAAAAGTTTATTTGACACCGTTCTTCGCCCGTTAACTGGAGCAAATTGTTTTGGATGTGGCAAAGGAGTTCGAGTGCAAAACTCCTGGGAGGTCGAGTCGGACTCTGCCCTGGTCCGAGATCCGGGTTGATCTGTCTCAATCCCGCCGAATCGGCTGAATCCCTCGCAATCCGGCGGAATGCCGCTGCTGCCGCGGCCCCCCCAACGGGGCTTACTCCTCCTGCATCCTTGCGACGAAGGCCTCCCGGAGGGGAAAAAACACACAGACACAATTAATCGTCGACTCCCAGGAAAAGATGGAAACATATGGGAAATGGGGGGGAAGACGAAAACCCTGAAACTATGGGAAAATATTGGGAATTCTGTTATTTGTGTCTATTCATTTGTGTGTCCCAGGGCCCCTTCAGGCCTCCCAGTAGTTGCCGCCTAGCAAAAGGCTTACGCCATTCCGCCGGCCCCCAGGGGAGAAAGGAAATCCACGGGCGAGGCCTCTTGAGGGAACCGCCTGGGGCCTCTGGAGCCTTCTCTGTTGCCCCTTGCAGGCCTTGTGGGGCCTCTTGGGGGCTTCTTTGGCGCCCGCCGGCGGTCTCGGGGGTCCTCTTGTGGCGGAGGTCTCGACACATCGGTTCGACATGCTCTTCATTCCCCCAGGATGGCGGGCGTCATCCAGGGGGGGGAGGGGATCGGTAAAGCAGCGGGTTTCCCCCGCGGGGTTTGGGAATGCTCAGGAATAGCTGAGCGCAGCTAGGATTATCATGTAGATAGAGATCTGCCACGCAGAGCTAGGCGCATCGCAGGAGGTTGCTGAGAATCGGGTCGAGCAGCGGAAGTAGCGCCTGTGCGCCACACCATGCCCGCAGACACCTCGCGTGCGTGCGACCGCCAGACGGCGAGGAGAGGGAAGACAAGGCCCTGCCAGAGCGAAGATAGTCTTGCGGCAGTGGTCCTGTGACGTCACGGTGTGCGCCCGCTAGGGATGGGGGGGAGAGCCTGGCAACGTCCGGGCTGGAAGTGGCTTGGGACGCCGCCGTCGCCGTCGCCGTCGCCGAAGCCGCCGCCGCCGCCGCCGCCGCCGCCGCCGACGACGACGACGACGACGACGACGACGACGACGACGACCGACATCGTCTGGAGGCTTCAGGAGACGTCCAGGCAGTGTCTACACATGCGTTGGGGTGCGCGCAGGCATTGGGGCGTTCTTGTGCACACTTGCTGCTGCAGCAGCAGCATCTGTGGTGTACACAGGCGTCATGGTGTACGCAGACACTGTGGTGAACACAAGCGCTGTCGTGCACACTGCTGCTGTGTTGTACACAGGCACCGTGGTGCACACAGGCGCTGTGGTGCGCACACATGTTGGTGCAGCAGCATCGGCGGTGCGGAAAGGCATGGTGGTGTACACAAGTATTGTGGGGTGTACAGTGCATTGTTGTTCGCACAGCCCCTGAGGTGTACACGGTCGCCGTGGTGTACACAGGCGCCGTGGTGCACACAGATTCTGCTGCAGCATTTAGCACACAGGCACCATTGTAGACTCAGGCACTGAGGTGCACATAGGTTGTGTGATATGCGCAGGCGCTATTGGCCCCAAAGGGACACTACCCTGTGCCAGACAAGTCAATTACTTCAAGTACACACAATATAGAATTTGCTTCCTTCGATTTCCTTTCTAGAATGGAGTCCTTTAGGAATTTGATAGTGCACGCATGTCTTAGGCTCTGTGATGTATAGGCTCTGCGGTACACACATGGTGCTGAAGCAGCAACCGTGGCACACACGGGCGATGAGGTGTGCACAGGCAGTGTGATGCACAGGCGCCGTGGTGCACACGGCTGATGTGGTGCCACGGGCTGTGGTGCACACAAGTGTTGCTGTTACATCAGCTATGGCGTGCACAGGTTTGGTAGTGTACGCGCTGATTGTTGTGTTTACAGGCGCTGTGATGTACGCAGGCATTGCAGGCAACGTGGTGTAAGCACGCACTTCGGTGCGTACAGGCGCTGTGGTGTGCAAGATATTGCTGTGCGCGCAGGCTCTGTGGTGTACACAGGCATCGTGGTGTACACCGATACAGTGATGTACACAGACAATGCGGTGTACAGCGGCACGGTGGTGCACAGGTACTGTTGTTCACAGCGGCGCGCTGGTGCACTCGAGCAGTGGTTCAACGCGGGCAGATCCCTATATGCTAGTCTAGTCTTCGCTGTCCTGAGTCATCCCGTGGAATTCTCAAAGAGCGCCGGCGCGAAGAGTCATGTTACCATGGGGGGGAGGGGGCGGGTGGCGCGGCCGATGGCGGTCGTGATCGCGGGGGGGACAGATGCTCCAGCGGAAGCGCCTCCCCGCGAGGGTCCAGAGCCTGAGCAGACCATGCCTTTATGAGTGCTGCCAGCTGTGGGGTAGTGGCCCCTCCTTCCAGGGCCCCCTGGGGACTCCAGCGGAGCTTCGCCCCAGGCGGACTCGCAGCAGACTTCGCGTCCGCTGGCGCTGCCGAGCGTGAAAGAGTGCCGCCAGGTCCCGGGCCCCCTGAGGTTCCATCGGAACGTCACCGCCACTGACTACAACGCCGACCCAATGCCTCCTTGGGTGCTGCCACGCATGGAGCTGTCGCCCATCATGTGCTCCTAGAGGGTCCAACGCAGCCTTCCCACTGCGCGGGCCCAATCTAGACCTCGCTTCTTTGGCATGCTGCCGAACTTAGAGACGTCGCCACTTGCATGACACCTCGGGGTCCAGCGCAGCTCCGCCTCACGCGGACCCAGAGGAGACCCCGCCTCCCTGGGTCTTGCCAAACGTGGAGCAGTCGCCACGTCCTGCCCCCTCGGAAGTCCGTCGGTGTGCCCACGCATTCGGACCAAAGCAAGAGCTCGCCTCTCAGGGTGCGATCCCTCCTTGGAGCGCCGCCCCTCAGGAATCCAAAGCCGATCGCGCAACCCCGGACGCTGCCCGCGGGCGTGGGTGGGCTTCTGGTGAGTCCCTGGGCGATCCACTACGAGCGTGACCAATAGGCCACGCGTGCAGCCTCCCAGGAGACCAGGAGCAGGCAACACGAGACGCAGCGGCAGCGGGTCACGAGGCGCAGCCCGGCCCCGCCATGCGCAGGACGAGACCGGCTCCTGGGGCACGGACACCCTGCTGTTCGGCAACGACGAGCTGTCGTACGCACTCGGGAAGCAGGGCGCGACCAGGAAGAAGCTGGAGCGCTCCACTGGGTGCGTGGTGCAGTATGTTGGGAACACGTGCATCCCGGGGGCTGACGCACTTCCCGCCCTCGCACTCTCTCTCAGAAACGTTCCCCAGACCACTTCCAGGCACCGTCTTGGCCAGTTTTTTCCGAGTTGCGTCAAGCCCTGGCTTTGAGCCCCCCCCCGCCACCGCCTCGAACGCAAGGTTTGGTGATGGGGTCATTGCAAGGATGATGATGATGATGATGATGATGATGATGATGATGATGATGATGATGATGATGATGATGATGATGATGAGGAGGAGGAGGAGGAGGAGGAGGAGGAGGAGAGGAGGAGGAGGAGGAGGGGATGAGAGGGAGGGGGAGGGGAGAATGAGGAGGAGGACGAGGTAGGAGAGGTGGGAGAGGAGAGGGGTAGGGAGGAGGTGAGGAGGTGGAGGAGGAGGCGGCGGAGGAGGAGGCGGAGGAGGAGGAGGGAGGAGGGGAATCGGAGGAGGAGGAGGAGGAGGAGGAGGAGGAGGAGGAGGAGGAGGAGGAGGAGGAGCAGGAGGAGGAGGAGGAGGAGGCGGAGGAGTCCGTAGCCATTTTGTCTCAAGCCATTTTGGGTCAAGGTGGCTTGACAGTGAGCTAAGGCCAGAAGGGTAGGTAGGCACCACGGCCTCGCCCTTAGATTGGCATGAATTTCGGCATCTTTTCAGTTCCTTCCTACCACATCTCTTTGTTCTTGGCCCAAGCGGAACGCCCCGTTCCAGAACACATTGGCAAGCCTCGGCCACATCACATGTCATCGAAGGACTGGAAGTGCGAGAGGTGCAATCGTGTCAATTCATCTCAATTCTGGCGCTGCTGGTGTGGGCACAAGTGGCGGCATCGCTCTGCAAGTCGTGGACGCCGCCAAAACCGCCCACGCACCCCGTCACGTTCGAGACGCCAGCAGCAGGGCCCCCCGCCGCAGAACTACGCAGGCATCGAGCACAGGGCGCGCCCGCAGAAGGGCCGCAGAGGCCGAATCACAAGCAACGAGGTCCGCCAGCTCACCGACGAGACTCCGCAGGCCTCCAGGGAGAACGCGGAGAAGCACAATAACTACCTGCGTCCGCCCACCACGCCGGCGCAGATGGAGGCCTACAAAAAGGACATGGCGCAGAGGGCAGAGATCTTTGCCACCCTGGTCCTTGTCACACGGAGGAGTGGCAGCGAGAACGAGGACACCTTAGAGGAGTTGGCCATGGTCAAGAGCAGCATTGCCTCCATGCAGCCTGCGGCCGCACGCGCGGCCCAGTTGCGGATCGAGCTCGAGGGGGGCAATCAGGATATCGAGAGGATCGAGACCAAGATCGAGCAGCTGAACGCCCAGAGGGATGCGCAGATCACGCGCCAGGACCAGATAAGTACCACCCTCTAGGAGCTGGACAAGGAAGCCCAGGAGGAGGCCGCGGCGAGGGCAGCCGAGGGAGTGGCCGCGGGGGTCGCGCCCCCCCCGCCGCCAGCGCCGCCACGGCCGCCCCAGAGTTCGCCGCCACCTCAAGGGCAGGAGAACGCCAACCAGCCCATGTTCCAGCAGCACATGAGCCCCGCGGTGATGCAGCATATGATGGCGTATATGATCCAGCAGGGGTACCAGGGAGTGGCCACGGGAGACGGCAAGGGCTCAGAGCAGATGTCGAGGCTCACGTCCGCCGCAGTTCCAGCCCAACAGCGGAATCCCACATCGGCTTCGTCCCAGCATCAGCCCTACGCCGAAGCGGGAGTGCACCCTGCTCAAGGAAGAAGGGCCGAAGACGAAGCACCAGGCTATACCATGTACGGCGGGGGCTATGACAGACGCGAAGATCGGGCCGATGGTAGCCCAGGAGGAGACCATCCTCATATCCAGCCAGGAGACTGTGGCCAAGGCGGATCCGTATGCCAGAGGCGGCCCACTGGGGCCCACCCAGATGTGGGCAGGATCGATGGGGCGCCGCTGTCCCAGCCCGTCTCGACGCAGGGGGCAAGCCAGTCGGAGATCGCCCTCCTGGATCCTGCGCTCCTGGTGGCAACGCAGCCTTGTGTGCCGACTCAGACGGAACAGATCAAGGGCCCCGACAATTTGGACGAATTTTGAACCGTTCAGAGGAGGATGCCAAGAGCTACGACCTCGGCGAAGACAACAATAACTACGCGAAGCCAGAACATCATGAGCAAGCACTGCCAAGATCTGTTCCGCCTGTGCTGTCCCAATCTTGACTTAAATTCGATGGCTTGAATCTCCACGGGACCTCCGAGGTTCTCGCCCAGCGTGCGGCCGCGGCTGGCTGCGCCCTAATACTTAGTACGATGCACCTTGCGTTAGCTCGGGCAGTGCTTTTCCGGCATAGCCTCCCCGCGCGAAGCTGGGGGAGTCGATGGGGAGGCATCCAGGGGGCCAGGGCCCCCCTTCCCTCAAGCAGGTCTGCCCGTATAATACAGAGGGGTATCTCAGAGGTTAGATATTGCGAGCCACGCAGTGGGCTCTATGGTCATGAATTAAGAGCCGAACTTTGCTCCCCTCCTCCTCGGGCGTCCGCTGGTGTGTGTGTGTGTGTGTCTTCGGGAAGACCCCCCCCCTGCCCCTCGGAGATGAAATCTCCCGACCCCGCTTGGGCCCCCCCCCCGCTAGCCAGTCGGTGAGCGCTCGTGTCAGGAAAAGCCTTGTCCATCGTCGGCCGTATCAATGTGATGGCATCTTTGATACTTTGAGCGAGCCTGTTGCCTGTCAGAGATGCGGGGGGGGGGGGGGGGGGGGGGATGCAGCCGGGAAGAAGCTGCTCGGGAGGAGAATGAGGGAAGGGATTGCGCTCGAGAGCGCCATGTCGAGGCTCCAGGCGCTGGAATCCCAGCGGAGAGCATCTGTGAGTTTGATGCCATTCCGCCCATCTTCTTTGTGCTTTTCCACCGTGCCCGCCCCGTTTCTGGAGATCGTTCTTGAGCGAGAACTTCGAGACTCGGGCTTGTTGGAGGATGCCCCGATAATTGCTCTGACATCGGCCCCGCCTAGAGTCATCCTTCCCACCGAGTTGACTATATGCACTGACGGGTCCCATTTCAGGGGGGGGGGGGCAAAGCTGCCTGGGCTTTTGTTGTGGTGGTGGCTGAGAGCCCCCAGAGCGTCTCTGCGTGGGGCACTTGGCGTGGCACCTTGGAGGATGCCGGCGCCATTGGAATGACCCAGTCGGAAGCTACTAGCACGACTCTTGATTTCTTGGCCATTATTTGGGCCAGTCTGTGGATTCTCACAGCCCCGTTTGATGATGTGGGATATGCCATTGTCAGCGGCTCGCTCTGTGCGATCGGCGCTGCGGAGGGGGCCGAGATCCCGAATAATGATGCTACTTTAGCTTGCCTGACTCGGGTCACTTGGCAGCTTGTGGGCATGCGGCGACGGCGCGCTATCGCTCGCGAGAAGTCTCACGCTGGCTTCCATTGGAATATGCTCGCGGTTAATTTGGCTAAAGCCATTGCTCGCGACCTCTTGCCCCCTCTTTTCTAACTTGCCTCCTCGCCGGGTGGGGGCCGCGAAGTGTGGCCCTAGTCGGGCCTGGGAGTGGTTGAACCTGGCCCAGGGCGAAGGTAGGCTGCAAGGAGATGCCTATCCTAGGGTGTCGATGGGGGGCGGTCTCGGGTCTCTGAGGGGCCACCTTCCCGAGCGTGGGGGCGCTGCGGCCTCGGGCCGCCCTGGAATTAAAGGCGCGGGCCAGAATGCCGCGCCCCCCGCCCAGCTAAGCCCGCGCAGGTCCAGCTCGCCACTGCGACCTTCAATGCCCAATCGCTTCGAACGGCGCGAGGGGGGGGGCACTCGAGGAAGAAGCCGCGTTGCTCGCCAGCAGCTGCGTTGCGCCCAGCTCGCAGGACAGCGCGCCCACCTTGCCGGCATTCAGGAGAGTCGCAACGGGCAAGGGACTAGACGCCAAGGGGATGATGTTGTGTTAGCGGCAGCACGCGATCAGTTCAACTTGGGGGTGGAAGTATGGGCCAGCATCGTTCTCCCATGTGCTCATCGTGGTGGCACCCCCCTTTGCCTTGCTCGGCATCGTGTCCAGCTGCTCCATCTCCCCCCGCGCACCTTGGTTGCTAAGTTGTCAGCCCCCGCTTTGGCTCTTATCCTGTATGTTTGTCACGCCCCTCATTTGGGCGCTGACACCGTGGCTCGGGGTCAGTTTTGGAAGGATTTGGACGCCTTGCTACAACGGTGGCCGGCGGATCTTTGCTTTGCGGATGGGGATGGAAGGATGGGTGCGACCCCTTGCCCTGGGGCGTCAACTGCTGGGCCGAGGTCGGAGGAAGACGCCGGCGGCAAGGCGTTGCGCGCCCTCCTCCTCGCCTCGTCCATCAGCTTGTTGTCGCCGATACTTTTTGATGCAAAGGGGGCGGGCACGCGTTCGCTTTCAAAAAAAGCGCGCGCCAGCGTATCGATTACATCATCACCCAGCAGTGCCGCCTCCACACCCTCTGTGATGCCGATGTTCATCACAATTGGGAGAGTACGCGAGGGGCGGATGACCAGTTTCCGCTATTGCTGCGTTTGGCTGGGGCCAGACGTCTAGGGAGGGAGCTCACGACCCAAGAGTGACAACTAACAAGTGCGGGCCCTGTTGCGTTCTCTGTGTTTGCGTCGGCCCTCTGCCAGGCCGACCTCCAGCCCTGGGGTCAAAATTTGAACGACCATTGCGCTCAAGTTGCGAGCGCCATTCGTGGGGCCACGAGATTTGCTTTCGACAAAATCTTTGTCCGTCCTAGAACGCCTTACATCTCCCCTCCCACCTTCGTCCTCGTCCGTGCCCGCCGTGCGATCAGGGGGGCGCTTCGTTGCAGCCGGCAGCTTGCGCTAGCGGGGGGCGCCTTTTTTTTCGGACCTTGGTGAGGACGCATCCCGAGAAGCCGACGGCCAGCGCAAGGTCATCGGGCGGCTCTTTTACCTGGCGGTGAGTTTGAGCAAGGGTGACCCATGTCACGAGATTCAGCTTGCGGCGCAGTCGCAACCGCATCTTCTGCAGTATCATCATTTGCAGTCTGTCTGGCCGAACTTACAGGGGCAGTGCTATCAGTTTGTGCATCGGAACATCGACGTTTATGAGTTTCGTCTTGTCCTCGTCTCCTTCATTGCTTCTACCGCCCCCCATCTCCAAGGTGCCCTTGATGGTGATTTCTCAGCGTTTCTCATGTTTCACGAGAATGAGGCCCCGCACGCGTGGTCGGAGGCCTCATGGGCATCTACGGGCGCGAAGGCGCCCCCGCCAGAGTGCAGCGCTAGGCCGACGTCATTGTAATCAGCGAGCTCGCGGCAGCCCGAGAGCAGGACCAGGTGCTAAACCCGCGCCCAAGTATTGTTCGAGCTGCAGCAAAACGCGACGGAACCTGACTCCCGAAGGTTAGGATTTGAAATTCGAGGCGCGGACCTCGGCAAAACGCGACAAATGAGCCTGCCCGAAGGTCAGGACTTGCCAGTTCGAGCCGCGAGCCACGGCAAAACGCGACGCGAGCCTTACTCCCGAAGGCCAGGACTTGCCATCAATCGCGCACGAGCATCCTGGCCGTCCACAGGGTTTTGCATGATCCCCCCCATGGCGCCAGGGGGCGCCGCGCCCAGGACCCTGCGAGCCCCTGCCTCTGCCGGCGCATTGTGCAGCAGGCCGCGGCCTTGTATGGGGGAAGGCAGCGGCTGCTCGTCGGACTCTGGCGAGGGCTGGTCCATCGGCACGTCTCTTAGCATGATGTGTATCTTGCGCGTGGACTGGTCGTAGCACTTCATCGCTCGGAACAGCCGCAGCATGTCGTGCAGCTCCTCGGCCTGCAGCTCCAACCATGCTTTGTCGTGCCTGAGCTTGAGTCTTGCGTGCGTCAGCTGTCCCAGCGCGACTCCACGCTCGAGCAACTTGCTGAGAAACCCATCGAATTTATGATGGTGAGGTGGACCGAGCTGGTGGCCTTTCCCGCCGGCTCGGATTTCGCGTGAATATGCCACCCCGCACTCGCTGGCTGCGGCCACCTCTGGCGCGTCCGCGTCCATGAAGAACGCGTCCACGCCCGCGGCCCACAGGTCCCGCGCCATCTGCGTGGTGAGCAGCACCTGCTTGACCATGACGTCGATGAAAGCCGCTTGCTTCTTGTTGAAGCCCATGTCCTTGACCTTGCCCTGGTGGCGGTTGCGGTTCTTCTTGTCTCCTGCTGCGTTCTGCTGCTGACCGCTGCCTGCGGCGGCGCTCTGTCCCCCGGAGCCCGCGGCTGCGCCTCCGCCCTGCCTGGGCGGGGGCGGCTTGGCTTTGCCGAGGGCAGGGGCGCCCGCGGCCTCGCCGTCGGCGGCCCGCTTGGGAAGGCGCCCCTTCGGCGCCGCCATCGCGCGCGGGAGCTCGGACAGGGGCGTTGGGGAAGTGCAGCTCGCACATGCTCGACTGGAGCTGAGCCAAATCGGCGAAGCTGTGGAGCCTGCAGGCCGGGCAGACGAGCTTGGGGGGCACCGCGGGACATGCAGCATGGGCCGACTCCGTAGCACAGACACCCCGACGAAACGCGCAGCAAAGATGGGCCTTGGCAGTCTTCTGGGAAGCGAACGACGATCGACAAACAGGGCGCTCGTTGGTAACCACACACCTTGCATAGTGCGAGAAGTCTCCGTGCGATCCCCCAATGGCGTGCGTCTTGTGCGCGATGAGCGCGGCGTGCGAGAGGAACTTAGCACCGCGAGCGTTGCCGTCGTCGGCAGTGCAATCGCGCGCAAAGACGCAGCTATCAGGGCCCAGGAAATCCGGTGCAGATAAGTTTTGTTTTTTCTTGAAAGCCTCCAGGGGGTCTCCGAAATCGATCGTGTCAAGTTCAGTGCTGCCAGGCCGCCAAATCTCCCGAAGGGCCGACATATCCGCCGAGAGAAACAAATGCTTGGTATAACCGTCGTGGACAAGGTCGTGCAAGTTTTCCCCCCAAGCCTGCGGCCAGTCCTCAAAATCTGCGAGCAACTTCAGCTGGTAAACGTCCGAGACAAAGCGAATCGCCAAACGGGGTCAAGCGGCCCTCCGAGACCGTGGGGTGGTCCTCGAAGCCGAACTTACCGAACATAAGGGCGATGACCTGTTGGTGGTCTTCTGGCCAGCGCACAATCGTCTAGTGCCACCTCAAACCTCTGGGCGAGAAGCTCGACATGGGCCGGAACGAGGTTCATCCACGGCCAGACTCTACGAGTGTCGTGAGACTTAGGGCGGGCCCCTGACTGATCACACATAGTTCCCGCCGCTATACGCCGAATTTTACCTAGCAGCGCATGGTCAAATTGCCCCCCCCCCCCCCCCCTCCCCCCCTGGGCATCCGCGAGGAGATGCGGGGTGGGGTGGGGCCAGACAGCGGCGCACCCTGCACGGCGGAAATTGATGCCAGCCCCCTCACCTTAAAGGGGGGGCCCGAGGGCCAACAGTAATTGAAGGCGAGCCATCCTCTGTTGGCCGCTTGTTTACTCAAGTGCATCTGATGCGAGAGCGCTCCCGCCGGCAACCACTGGGGGCCGAGATAGCGCGTTTGTGGGGCGACTCTGGCGCCGCCCACCTCGGCCGAATAAAACTTGCGATTGGCATTATACCCGCAGAGGCGTGGGACCAAGACGTGTTTTTTGGTGTTTTGACGGTGGCCAACAGCTTCGGGCTGGGCACCGAGGGTGGCCTGCGAGGCCTGGGTGCACGCAGCGGCTTCCTCCAGGGCCCCAGAGGTCAGGGGCGAAACATAAACCAGGTCATCCACGTATTTAAAGAGGCCCCCGTGCACGCTGGCATCGACAAACGAACAATGAGCAACAAGCATGGGGTCCTTGCTCTCCTCCAGTCACTTCTGTTACGGCCGAGCAAAGTCCACCCGAAAATCGTCAGGGGCACTCGGATCCCCTTATGAGGGCGCCCCTTTGGAGGTGCAGAGTGGTGTGCTTATCAATTCCGTCTATGTGCAGAATGTGGGTGGTGCGCCTGCCGGCCAGCAGATCGGCATCCACCGAAGGAAGATACTCGTGCAGCCCCTGATCCATGCGGCTGTGCGTACAACACCCAAGCGCGTTCTTCATGTCGTCAAAGACCGCCACGTGCCACGCTCGAACCGCGCGCATACGCTCAGACAACACATGCACTTCGAGAATGGCGTTCTCTCTCCTGCGATGGGGCGTGCAACCATGATCAAACTCGTCTGGTGCCCCGTGGGGAACAGACCGGTAGATGCCTCGAGAATTCGCACTGAAAAGGGGCAGAGGCCATGCAAGAAACGCGTGCCTCCGTCTGGCTTGGGGGTCTGCCAGCCAATCGAGAACCCCGCGCGCGTCGGAAACCTCCCACACACCCGCCAGCGCGTGGCGAGACTCCCCAAGCCAGCCGAGATGTGCTCCACATCGGGGGGATCGGGTTTGGCACCGAGGCCGAAGGGGGACGGGCGAGGGCGTCTGTAGTACTTGGGCTTTCGTCTGAAGAGCCAGCTCGGTGACATCAAAGTTCCACGCCATGGCCGCGCCGCCGTTCTGCAACCCCCGCGTCGAGCTTGAGCAGGGTGGGAGCGTGGTCCCGCAGGGAACCCTTGCTCGGAAAGGGCTGGAGCGAGCGCGCGGCCTTGGTCATGGTGACGACCTTCTGGATGCACTTCAGGGCGCCCTGCGGGACCACGAAGTGGTCGATCCACGAGACGCCCTTCTCACCATAGAAGGACGGGGCCAGCTTGTGGAAGGTCGTGGCGCAGCCGAGGAAGTGCCTGTGCATGAGCTCGCGCAGGGACCGCGCCGCGTAGCCCATGCGGTCCTGGGCGGAGGGGCCAACGCACTGAAACGCATCCGACGTGTCGTCCACGGCGAACGAGTCATTCAGATCGGCGAAGATGACAGGCGTTGACCTCACAGGCGCAGCGTCCAGCTGCGCACCCAGCCACTCTATGAGCACATCGACCGTCCGCCTCCACGAGGCCAAAGACCCGCGAGGGCCAGGAGGAGGGACGTACAGGACCACGACCGCGAGATCCACAGGGCCCGAAGTGACGCGAGCAAGGCCCGCGCGGCCCGCAGCAGCAGCGGGCCCAGGAACCACTCGACGAAGCTTCGACGCCAGATCCTGCCGTCTTAAGCCGACGCTGACGCCCGCCGACCGCTTGGTGAAGGGGCCGCGGCCGTAGCCGAAGTGAAGGTATTCATGATCTCCACAGTGCTGGCGCCGCACCGACTCAAAGGGGGCTGCGCGCGGCGCCTCGTGCCGACGAGGGCGTGGACAGGGTAGCTGCGGCCGTACGCGGCTGTCTCGAGCAAAGCAAGGCTGCACACATGGTATCCGAATATTTTGCACCGCCTGGGCCCCAGCGAGGGCAAGCGTCTGCAGCCATCGGCGCAGGGCCCCGCTCAGACCTGCATGTGTCGACTGTTCCGCCTCCAGCGGGGGTTGCCAAAAAGGACCCCCCAGGAGGCGTCTCGGCACAGAAAGGGGCTGGAGGAGGAGGAGGAGGAGGAGGAGGAGGAGGAGGAGGAGGAGGAGGAGGAGGAGGAAGAGGGCCAGTGCAACCACAAGGCTCATCAACGATACTGCAATCAACCCTCCCTCTTCCTTCTCCATACGGGTGAGGGAAATGCACCGTTGGAAGACAACCCTTTTGAAATCCGGGAGTGTGCCCTGACGCCATTCCTTAGATTTTACCGCCGCGAATCACCGTGCCATGACAGTGCCATTTACGATCCTGAATCGTGCCATTAACACCATTCTTGGGACTTCAATGCCGTGAATCAACGTGACTGTTGCGCTGTGAGATCGTGACATCGTGCCCAAACACCAGTTCTGGGACGTTAAGCGTGAGGAAGCTGCTGCAAACTCTGGAGACGAACGTGTGCGGCGCTAAGGTGAGAGCCGTCCCGCTCGTTCACGCCCGCGGTACACATCTAGCAATGGTTGACACTCGGCACGATGCAGCGGTCGCCGCCTCAATCGCGGTGAATCGCCGCTCTGTGCGCCACGATGTGCACAGGGGAGGGAATGGGCACGGCCGGGCTGGAGGGGAAGGGACGGAGGAAAGAGAGAATGGTGATGATGATGATGCTGCTGCTGATGATGATGATGCTGATGCTGATGCTGATGCTGATGCTGTTGATGATGATGATGCTGATGATGATGCTGATGATGATGCTGATGCTGCTGATGATGATGTTGTTGATGTGGTTGCTGTTGTCGTTGTTGTTGGTGCTGTTGTTGTTGTGATTGTTGTGGTTGTTGTTGTTGTGGTTGTTGTTTTTGTTGTGTTTGTTGCTGCTGCTGTTGTTGTTGGTGCTGTTGTTGCTGCTGCTGTTGTTGTTGATGTTGTTGTTGTTGTTGCTGCTGCTGTTGTTGTGGTTGTTGTTGTTGGTGGTGGTGTTGTTGTTGTTGTTATTGTTATGGTTGCTGTTGTTGTTGATGATGCATATGCTGCTGCTGCTGATGATGCTGATGATGATGATGATGCTGATGATGATGATGATGAGGATGATGATGATGATGACGATGATGATGATGATGATTGATGATGATGATGCTGATGATGATGATGATGCTGATGCTGCTGATGATGATGATGATGATGATGATGATGATGATGATGATTGATGATGATGATGATGATGATGATGATGATGATGATGATGATGATGCTGATGATGATGATGATGACGATGATGATGATGATGATGATGATGATGATGATGATGCTGATGATGATGATGATGATGATGATGATGATGATGATGATGATTGATGCTGATG